GATTTACGTAGTTTTACGCTAAATTTTACGTAAGTTTACGATTTTCTTACGCACCGTAAAAACTTACGAAAGTTTATGCATATATATTTTTGCTGATGATATTTTTAAACAGCCAAATGAATGTATCTTTTGTTTTATCTGAAATGATAGCAGTTGCTACAAGACGAGAATGATTATGATTGTCTATTAAAATTATAACACACAATATTATAGAGTATCAGTTTGTTTTTGCAGTAGTATTAAGCAAAACAACATCATGGAATCTAGCCACAACTGTTGTTAGTTTGGGCTCATCCAGAATAGTTTTGTAAGATAATTGTCATGTCCTTCGAAATATGCGTCAATATAAAAAGTAGGATCAGCTTGCTAGTGTTTTATAAGCTCGAGATATATTAACCCAGCATTACTTATTGTCTCCTTTTGAATTCGATTCATCTGAATTGCATTATACACATTGCGTGCATAAATATATTTTCCTGGATATTTCTTTTGCAATACTTCAATAATTGCTCCAGCACGTACTCTACAAAAAGCGAAAAGTTTTATATCATTATACATCTCAGAAGTAAGTCTTTAGTAATGGGTTCAACTATTTCAATATCATTAATAAGAGCATGGTTATGTTGACCATCAATTTTTGTTATGTATATTTTGTTGACCTTTTTACGCCGATATGCATTAATATGAAACTGGCAGTCACTATTGTTATAACCTCGATTATGTTCCTTAATAGCATGTGCTTCTTTATGTGCAACATATGGTCTCCCTTTCATACACCTATATGTACAACATCGAGGAATTTCATCCTTCTTATCTTTTTTACTATGAGTTACTGTAAATGCAAACCTATACTCCATTCCATAATTATCAAGCCATCTAAGTAATAAAATAAATAATTTTTAATAAATATACATTCAAAATACTATATGGGGTCTTTGCCTTGAAAATGACTTTACAGTATCATGTACCGTAAGGTCATTTTCAAGACAAAGACCCCATATACTAATTTATTGCTTACCTATCTAGATCTGCCCAATTCATAAAATTCATCTCCAAAGTAATAAAGTATGTATAAATTCTATTATTTTCTTCTTGGGCTTCTATGTCTTCAGTTGTCGCCAAATTCTTTTCATTATCTTTCAAATAAGAAAAGTTGTTAGATAGCGACTGTTGTTAATCCATTATGTTAGGGTGATCTTGCGGGTTATTCAATTCAGTATTATTTAGGTCAAAAAAATTTTCATCAACATCTAAAATTAGTAAAGTATTCATTGTCTATATATTTTTTTTAAGCTGAGAATTTTTCTTATTTTTCAAATTGGAAGGACCATTAGGTAGTAAATATTGATAATCTATTATGCCAGTATGGTCTTGTAGCTTGTTAAATTCAGTATTATTAATTTCAACAAAATTTTTGTCGACGTCTAAAATTGGTAAAGTATCCATGTATTCTTTAACCTGGGCATAGTAGGAATTTTCATTATTATAGAAAATATTGTTGGATAGTAAATGCTGATGACCTATTATAGTAGTTTGATTTTGCAGGCTGTCAAATACAGTATCGGTATTGTTAGACTCAAAGAAAACTCTATTGACGTCTAAAATTAGTAAAGTATCTATGTATTCTTTAGTCTGGGTACAGTAAGAATTTTTCTTTTTGGATGGTAAATATTGATGACCCATTATGCTAGCATAATCTTGCAGGTTGTTAAATTCAGTATTGTTAAATTCAGTATTGCTAAATTCAGTAGTGTTATGCTCAAAAAGTTTTTCATAGACATCCAAAATCAGTAAAGTATCCATGATCCTTATGTTCTTTAATCTGGACACAATAAGAATTCAATTTTAATAAATCCAATTCGTAGATAAAAAGATAAACCAGGAGAGTAAACTTTTAGGTAAATCAGAATTTTCTGATAAATTCAATTTGCAAAAAAAAAAAAGATCATTTCTAGTTAATAAGAATTCATGGATAATTGACTTCAAAGTTTAAGTAAAAACTCTAGTGAACCACATGACACAGTAAAAGCTTAGATGTGTAATTGGTTGAAAAAAAAAAAAAACTTTTTTAAATAAAAAAAGCTGGGCGAGATATAAAAAAGCTAGACAAGATATGGCGCAGTAAAAACTTCTGTTTATAACAAGGTTCAACTTTAGAGAACCTTGTTGATAAATGTGGCACAGTAAATCGATAAACTTGTGTAGTAAAAACCTCTGAGTAAAATAAAGTTTCATATGAAATCAATCTGTAAAGCCCGTATGATAATAAAGATCACGTTCTAACGTATCAAACAACAATGAGTTTAAAGGGTAAGCAATTTTGGCAACTTGTGTTGCACAATAGCAAGGCAAAAAGAGCTACAATTACAAGGAATTATCTACTTTATTCTAGTTTATCATAATGTTATCATCGATTACAAAATATTACGTATATATGAGTTCATCGTATGCATATACATATATTGTACTACATTATTAGATCGGAACTGGTGTTGAACACCAGTGTTTACTACATTATTAGATTGGAACTGGTGTTGAACACCAGTGGTGCGTTTTAGTAATCTCGTATCACTTAATAATAACTGTGCTGATATTTATACCAAAACTTTGATCGAAGATATCTTAACAACCACTTGATCAAAATCGATAATCTTTTTTTATTTAAATTCTACATATCTGTAGAATTCAAATAAAAAAAAGTTCATCGATTTTGGTCAAGTGGTTGCCGAGATATCTTCGATCAATGTTTTGGTATGAATATTGGCGCAGTTATTATTAAGTAATATAGGCGTTTTAAAATTTTCAAAAACTTTGATTGAAGATATCTTGGCAACCACTTGACCAAAATCGATAATCTTTTTTTTATTTGCTTTTTACAGATCTGTAGACTTCAAATAAAAAAAGTTCATCGATTTTGGTTAAGTGGTTGCCGAGATATCTTCGATTAAAGTTTTAAAAATTTATAAACAATACTGTGACAAAATCGAAGAGATCTTTGTATAACCATGGTGCGAATAGCAGTTCCCTAAATTTAATAAAAACTTTTTTATTTTAATTTCATAGAATTTCAAGATTAAAATAAAAAAATTTCTAGCAAATTTGATTAAATAGTTGTTGAGATATTTTAATTTAAAAATTAAAAAAATTTCACTAAAAATAATTTGTCCCTTTTCTATTAACTCCCTCCATATATTTTCAATTTTTTATTTTTAAATTATAGACATATTAGGTACCCAATATATCTATGAAATAAATATAAATACAAACTAATAGACTTTAAATATATTGTGTAAAGGTTTAGATATAGATTACATCAATCGGAGTAGTACTAGTTACATGGCATATGACTTAAAGCCCGAACAAGTCAAGATTGGGAAATACGAACTTTATGGCTTGTGTGATGAAGATCATTACATGGCAGGGCTGGATAAGTCGAAGTCATATTTGATCAGGCAAGATAATTGAGCATTATAGTACATATGAATAAGTATATAAATTAAAAGCTTATTAGTAGTTAGAAGTGAACATATAATAAATGTAGTTATAGACATAATTCCTATTAGTAATAGTTAGTAAGAAAAAACCTGAATATATAAGGGGAAAAATATTTGTAAAAAGAGGATCGCTCCTTAACAATAAAAACAATAAAGAATTGAAAGAAATACTTTCCTTATACAAAATAATCTTAGTTAACCTACACCTATGATAAATAGGTTCGGTTATACTTGGTAGTAGTGGAAAACGATTTTTCTACCAATGCTGTAATATGTTGATAACCCTATCAACACCGTTTGTACAATTAAAAAGAAATATTAATTGTTTTTATCTAATTTAAAAACATTATTGATTATTCAAAAGCTTAAAAGCCTCAAACGATAGTTAGATTAAGAAGTTAAATGAAAAAAAAAACTTAGAAAACTAATACTTAATACAATATTGAGAAACAACAACCTTGAAATAGATGAGACATCTCCACCTCTTGACTTTATATTACTTTTTCAGCAGTTTTTAAAAAGTTAACAATAGTTAAACCAATACTTTGCTATTACTGCACAACAACAGCAAAAAAAACAAACTAGTGCTAATTATCGCATCCTGGGAGCTGGAAATAACAGTTCAAAAGGGCTAACAGTTCATTTACCAGTTTATAGTAGTAAAGACAGTGAAAACGTCCTTACATAGCTACTTCAAGTTGACTTACTTTTTAAGGCAAAAAAATTTAAAAATTCGGAGCAGTCGCAATACGTAATTACCTCAAGGATGTGGCTTTATAATAGTACCTAAATCAGGTACAAGCCCATGAATGCCAACAACTATTTGAAGATTGAAATTCCTTTGCAGAGGGTATAAAAACTGCATTCCAATCGCCCCATCACTAACAACTTCTACACCACCAATTAAGAAACTTAAAGCAAACCATGACTATTCAGAAATATACTTCAAGGTTCCAAAACCTACTTGAACAAATTAATAGAATACATGAAGCCAATAAGGTTATGTATTTCATGAATAGATTAAAAGAGGTGACCAAAGCAAAAGTAAATTACTATGCACCCGAAACTCTAGATAATGCTGCAAAGTTAGCTACAAGCTACGATTCTGCTATATATAGTGTAGAAAAAGGTGTCAATAAAAAACAATTAGGAAACAATAACTGAAGGTATAATAATCCTAGTAGTAGTCACCCACCATTAAGTAATATACAAACACCCATTCCAATGGAGTTAGATAGAATTGAATCAAGACATTTTAAAAACACTAAACCTATATATACAAAAAAAGAAAACAAAGTATTATCAAGAGAACAAAAAAATGAATATAGAAAACAAGGACTATGTTTTATTTGTAAGAAAAAAGATCACATAGCCAAAGAGTGTTGAAGCAAAATAAGAACAAACAATGAAGTTAATCAAGCTGAAGAAGTCAAAACAAAAACTACTAGCAAATTAGAGAAGATAGAAGTATATAAAAGGTATAATAAATTGAATAAGAAAAGCCTTTTAAAGGTAGAAGGGACAATCAAAGAAAAGAAAGCTCTTATCTTAATCAATTCGGGTGCATCAAAGGACTTCATAAATTTCCAATTTGCGAAAGATTCACAATTAGAAATAGACAAGGAAGGTTCTGGGTCTACAATAGTTGAACTAGCCAATGAATCATATTGCAAGTCACAAGGAAACATTGTAGATATTGAAATTGAAATTCAAGAGTACAAAGAAAGAAGAGAAGTTATATAAGTTATACTCTTGCAAAAATATAACATTATTTTAGGGAAACTGTGACTTTACGATTATAACCCCTATATTGATTAGAGACGTAATAAAATGAAAATAAATAAGTAACGATATACTTTTGTAGTTAGAGCTCTTGAATCAAAAGATATAAAAGAATGCCAATTAATTCTAGTTTCAAAGAGGCAGTTTGTTAAGGAAGCAAAAAGTACTACAGAGTTATATGCAGTTCTTGTTGCAAATACTATAAATAAAAATTACATAACTGGCCAAATATCAGAGTTTTTAAAAGACCTAATACACTAGTATAAAGATTTGTTTCCTGAAGAATTGCCAGAGGAATTATTATCTAAAAAAACGTAGACTATGAAATTCTATTGCAAGCAGAAACCTCACCTTTATATGGATCTATATATCGATTATTTATTTCTAAGATGAAGGAATTAAAAAGACAAATTGAAGACTACTTACAAAAGGGTATAATAAGACCTAGTACATCACTATATGGAGCTTCTGCTTTATTTGTAGCAAAGAAAGAAGGAACTTTAAGAATATGTATAGATTAGTGATTGGACTCGAGTTAAGTATTACTCAGGTTAACTGCGAGTAACTGGATAACCAGATAATGACTACAGCTACTTGGGTAAGTACACCCGGATATTACCCGAGTGGATATACCCAAGTAATACCCGAGTATTACTTGGATAGATAAACCCAAGTATTACTTGAGTAAGTATACCAAGTTAATACTCAGATAAGAGTACTTTTATAACACACCTAGTATTGCCACTACGTAATCACTTCAATCTGCATATAAGAATAATAAAATTATAAGCTCACAAGATTTTTGATGAAATAATCAAAGTTTTCTTATATTAATTCAACTTATTAAAATTTATTTAATTATCACTACAAGTTTTAAATAATTATACTCAATTCAAATGTATAGAATGAATTACATCCAAATTTAAGTTTTAATTAACACATGTATAAAGCTTCAAATTTGAATTTTTTATGTTACTAATAAAGATATTTTGTTATATCTTCAGAAGCTTTTTTGCTAGTTCAAAATCATTAATGTCATCTAATATTTTTTTGATTAGGTTTAAAGTTCGATTTAATACTTCAATTTTATTTTTTTTGTTTGGGAAGATTATTAGACTTTTTAAGCGCCTAAAATATAAAATTAATAAATAAATTTAAAGAATTTTCTTAAAATTTCAGATTCGGAATCGCTATCTTCTGAATTTACCAAATCAATTGTTAAATTGATTTATGTAATTGATTAAGGTTGATACTTGAATATTTTTTTATAAAGTTTTTTAGTTCTGTACTGAGAGGATTTTGAAAAGTGCATTAAACCTAAATTAATATATAATATTAGGTTTAGAAATTTTAAGCCATATATAATAACAATGAACTTGCAAAAGCTCATCTATATTATTACTGAAATATCAACAACTATCTCAAAATCTATATACATATTACTTTCTCCATCAACATCTATAAGTTTTTTATAAACTATATATTCAAGTACTTTGGATTTTATAGCATTTTCTTTTTGTATATGAATATCATTTAAAATTTGATTCCCACGTTCCTGTTTTTTGCTTTCATTTACATGGGTTGTACACTTTAAAAACATAATTGTTATTATTCTGAAATACAGTTTTTGATTTCGTAATTTGACAAGATGAATAAAGTTGTGTTTATTTTAGAAAATATTGTATTACAATATTCAAAGAAATAAAAATTTTTATTGTAAAAATTTGTTATTATTATTCTTAAATAAATGCCACTATTTTAATATCGGTAATGAATTCAATAAATTTAAGCTCCATTTACATACCTGATTTTGGTGGTGATACTAAGTGAGTCCTTAATCAGATACAACAGGTAAAATTTTATACCCGAGTATACCCATCGATCACTCAGTTAACTTGTGGGTATACTTGTCGATTAACCGGGTAACGTTTTTTTGACCAAGTACAATCACTAGTATAGATTATAGAGTTTTTAATAAAATGACAATTAAAAATCAATACCCCTTATCGCATATAGATGAACTGATTGACCAACTACACAGAGCAAAATATTTTAGTAAGATTGATCTTCATTCTGGTTACCACCAGATTAGAGTAAAAAAAGAAGACGTTCATAAAACCATGTTTAGAAAAGATATAGCTATTTCAAATTTCTTGTTATGCCATTTGGGCTAACAAATACACCTGCATCGTTTATAAGATTGATGAATAATATTTTTAGAGAACAACTAGACAAAAGTGTTATTGTCTATTTGGATAATATATTAGTGTATAGTAAAAGTGAGGATGAACATTATAACCATGTGTAGCAAGTTTTTACAATTCTTTGGCACTACAAACTGTATGGAAAAATGTCAAAGTGTGAGTTAGGGAAAAATTAAGTCGAGTTTTTAAAACACTATATATCTAATAACAGAATAAAGGTGGACCCCAAGAAAACTTTAGTTATTAAAGAATGGCCAGTATTAACTAATATTCATGATCTTCATTTCTTCCTAGGTCTTGCAAGCTACTATTATAAATTTGTACCGAATTTTTCAACCATAGCAGCACCATTAACTAAGCTGCTAAAGAAAGATGGAAAATTTATTTAGAACGAATTACAAGAATTAGCTTTTAACTTCTGCCCTAGTACTGTTAATATCTAATTCTGATATGCCTTTTTCAGTTACAATCGACGCATCTGATATAGCAATCGGTGCAATATTGTGCCAAAATTAGAGACAAGATGATCAACCTATAGCATATAAGTCCAGAAAGTTAACACCAGCTGAATTGAACTACCCAGTTTACAAAAAAGAACTTCTGGCAATCATACATACCCTTAAAGTATAGCATGTATACTTAAAAGAAAGACCTTTTCAAGTAATAACTGACTATGAATCATTAAAATACTTGTATTCTCAAGCAAAATTGTCATGTAGACAAGCACTTTGGATCAAAATGTTTTAAGCATATAACTTTACAATAAAATATCATCTAAAAAAAACAAACGTCATAGCTAATGCCTTATCAAAAAACCCAAAGTAAATATTGTTAATAAAATTAACATAAATGAGAAAATATATAAGAAGATAAAAAAGAAATATGATGATGATACTTATCTTCAAAGAATTTTAAAGGCACTTACAAATCCTAACTGTGACAAAGTAAAGAAGTTAGAAAAACAATTAAGTTGCTTTGAGCTGCAAGATAATGGATTAATTTTTTTTAAAGAAGATAAAGAAACTCTCAGTTGTGTTTTATAAAACAAGAATGATATTGCTAAAAGAACAGCATGATCTAAGTGGCTATTTTGGGTATAAGAAGACATATGAAGTACTAAGAAGGAATTTTTATTGGAAATGTATAGCAAAGGATATTAAAAAGTATATACAAAGTTGTGATAGTTGCCAATGCAATAAGAGTTCAACACAAGCACCAGCAGGTTGTTACAACCTCTAGAAATATCTACACAACTCTGGAAAGTAATTACAATGGATTTTATTACCTACTTGCCATGAACAAAAAATGGGAACAATACAATTATGGTTGTAGTGGATAAGTTAAATAAAAAAGCTCATTCTTATCTACTATAGGAACCGCAATAGCAATAGAAATTGTACAGCTTTTTTTTTGCAAAATATTTAGGCACTATGGATTACCACGCCATATAATCTCAGATAGAGACCCAAAATTTACAAGTAAATTTTGGAAAGGTCTCTTCCAAACCATTGGGACCAAACTAAAAATATCTATTTCTGCATATCTTCAAACTAATGGACAGACAGAATGAACTAATTATATACTTGAAGAAGTGTTATGAGCCTATGTGAACTACAAACAAAATGACTGAGATTAGCTTTTGACAGCTGCTAAATTCGCATATAACAATTTATTACAGTCTTTTACGAGATTTACTCTCTTCCAACTAGATAATGACTACTACCTTATTACCTCTCTAGTCTAATTGTAGACCAAGTTAAACAAACCAACATTAAAGCAGCTTAAGACTTAATGGATTAGTGGATGACAATGCTAAATATAGCAAAAGACGAATTAGTTAATGCTCAGGAAAGACAGGCAAATTATACTAATAAGAAAAGATGCTACTTAGAATTTAATAAAAGAGATTTTGTAATATTAAATACAGTAAACTTAACTTCACCCAAAAATTTGAAACATCTAGCAAAGAAATTCATGCCAAAGTTCATTGGACCTTTCCAAATCCTAAAAAAAATATCTACTACAGCATATAAATTAGAATTATCAGACTCTTTTCGTGTTCACCTAGTTTTTCATATATCACTCTTAAAACCATACTGACCAAATAAGTTTGAAGACCAAGATATATTACAGCCACCTCCTCCGATTGTAATAGAGCATACCTTGAAGCCAGAATTCGAAGTTGAGAATATTTTGGACAAGCATGTCTTTTACCGCCAAGTCCAATACCTTGTGAAATAGAAAGGTTACCTGCTCTACGATACTACTTGAGAACCTTATACAAACCTTGAAAACTATAAAGACTTGGTATAAGCATTCGAAAAAAATGAGAAAATTGGTTTAAATAGAGAAGAATGTAAAGGTTTAGATATAGATTATATTAATCGGGGTGGTACTGATCATGTAGCACATGACTTAGAGCCCAAACAAGTCAAGATCAAGGAATATGAACTTTATGACTTGTGTGACAAAGGTTGTTACGTGGTGGGACTAGATAAGTCAGAGCTATATTTGATCAGGCAAGATAATTGAGCATTGTAGTACATATAAATAAGTATATAAATTAAAAGCTTATTAGTAGTTAGAAGCGAACGCATAATAAATGTAGTCATAGGCATAATTCGCATTAGTAATAGTTAGTAAGGAAAACCCCAAATATATAAGAGGAAAAATGTCTGTAAAGAGGGAATTGCTCCTTAACAATAAAAACAATAAAGAATTGAAAAAAATACTTTTCTTATACGAAATAATCTTAGTTAACCTATACCTACGATGTGGGAACACAAAAAACTCTTTCTGACGATCATTCGGTCCAAATTTCCTATGAAAGAAAAGTCATTGTTTTCTTGCTAGAGATAGGCGCTGGGGTCTAAATAGCCTTAAAAGCAGGACGGTTTTTATAGAGGTCAACTGTTTGCTACCAGGAACTCCTCTATATATTCGGCAAGCAAACTAAAAGCGTCGGTATACAAGATAACTGGCAGAAAGTAGTGCCCTTGTATATGAAATTTTGGTGGATAGGTGGAGGTGAAAAGACTAAGCTATCCGTCAACAAAGTGAGCTGCTAAGAAATAACTGGAGAACAGCAAAAAGCATACTTTCCTTAAGCCGTACTCTTTTACCTTGGCCAAGTAATTTCTATATTACTTACTCTTTTTCATCTTCCTGCCATTCTACAAAATTTTCTACAAAAAGTGGGGATTTGGCTTACTCTCTCCAAAAGATCAGCATTGTTTACTTTCTAAATTCGGACGGACTCAGTAGAATACAACCATGTGATGTGTCTGTTTACAAATACGGCGCTACTCCGGAAGTTGGATCGGGACCTCCAGTTAAAGAGATATCCGAAGGCGGTTATAAGTCAGAAAAACTTTATACGTTAAGGCAAAGCTTTATACTAGAGATATACAATTGTTGCATTTGTTATATAATTTTTTTTTAGCCTTGTACAGGTTATAATAGTGTATTCGTAATATGTAGAGAGGTGAAATCCCTCTTAACACTTTATCCTGGTTCTATAAAGTTTTTTTTATTTTTCTCTGTTTTTTCTTTTTTTGGGTTTTTGGGTTTTTTTATTTTTTATTTTGCTCTTTTCCCTTTTCTCTCTTTACTACAGGGCTTTCCATTTTGGCATTTCAATAATGCATACTCCATATCTAGCATTATTAATCGTTTCTTCTGTAAACCATTTCCAAGCACTGCTACGAATCATAGACCCATCCATTTTTTATGTATGTACACTTGTAGAAGTATTATTTGATTGCTTAGTTACTTCTGACATAACGCTATCTTGTTGTTTAGGTAAGATTAAATTTTTATTACTGGAGCTTATCGAATGAATTGAGTTAATTTTATCATTATGTTCATGAGCTTTATTTTTTTTTTGCAATAACATTATATCAAATGCATTTTGTGTTTCTGATGCAACTTTTGGCTTATAGTTATAAAAAGGGCTAGAAGAACTTTTCAAAACTTTAGTTGACTTAACAACTATTTTTTTATTTATTTTTTTCTGATACCTTTGTTTACTTGCTTGTTGATTAGTATTATTGGAGCTACTAGGTGTGTCTTCTTCTTTTGCAGTTTGTGCACCAGGACTATATAACATATTATTAACCTCACGAGTGCTATCAAGCTGTTCATTTTGCCAATCTGCTTCTGATGATGGTATTACTATACAATCGGACTCATAGTATGCTTCAGGGCTTTCGACTCTTTCAGAATTCATATCTGTATCTGAGTTATTCATTTCTAATGACAAAGCTATATTTTTGAACTTATTTAAAGATAGTGTTCCTATGAACTGAACTGAAACCGAACTTTGGTCAAGTTCAGGTTCAAGTTCAGTTCAATCATGTTCAATATTGAACCTTCAAGTGAGGTTCATGTTCAGTTCAGTTCAGTATTGAACTTTTAAG